GATAAAGGACAGTACTGCGCAGCCGTCTTCATCGACCTGGCCAAGGCTTTAGACTCTGTCAACCACCGCATTCTTATTGGCAGACTAAATAGCCTTGGTTTCTCTAATGACTGCCTCACCTGGTTCACCAACTACTTCTCAGATAGAGTTCAATGTGTCAAATCGGAGGGCCTGTTGTCTGGACCTCTGGCTGTCTCTATTGGGGTGCCACAGGGTTCAATTCTCGGGCCGACTCTATTCTCTGTGTGTATCAATGATGTTGCTCTTGCTGCTGGTGAAGCTCGGATCCACCTCTATGCGGACGACACCATTTTGTATGCATCTGGCCCTTCATTGGACACTGTGTTAACAAACCTCCAAACGAGCTTCAACGCCATACAACACTCCTTCCGTAGCCTCCAACTGCTCTTAAACACTAGTAAAACTAAATGCATGCTCTTCAACCGAACGCTGCTTGCACCCGCCCACCCGACTAGAATCACTACTCTCGGCGGGTCTGACCTAGAGTATGTGGACAACTACAAATACCTAGGTGTTTGGTTAGACTGCAAACTCTCCTTCCAGACTCACATTAAGAATCTCCAATCAAAAGTTAGATCTAGAATCGGCTTCCTATTTTGCAACAAAGCCTCCTTCACTCATGCTGCCAAACATGCCCTCATAAAACTGACTATCCTACCGATCCTTGACTTCGGCGATATCATTTACAAAATAGCCTCCAACACTCTACTCAGCAAATTGGATGTAGTCTATCACAGTGCCATCTGTTTTGTCACCAAAGCCCAATATACTACCCACCATTGTGACCAGTACGCTCTTGTTGGCTGGCCCTCACTACATACTCGTCGCCAAACCCACTGGCTCCAGGTCATCTATAAATCACTGCTAGGCAAATCCCTGTCTTACCTTAGCTCATTGGTCACCATAGCAGCACCCACCCGTAGTCTGCGCTCCAGCAGGTATATCTCACTGGTCATCCCCAAAGCCAACACCTCCTTTGGCCGCCATTCCTTCCAGTTCTCTGCTGCCAATGACTGGAACGAACTGCAAAAATCTCTGAAGCTGGAGACTCTTATCTCCCTCACTAACTTGAAGCATCAGTTGTCAGAGCAGCTTACCGATAACTGCACCTGTACACAGCCATTCTGAAATTAGCCCACCCAACTACCTCATCCCCATATTGTTATTTATTTTGCTAATTTGCACCCCAGTATCTCTATTTGCACATCATCTTTTGCACATCTATCATTCCAGTGTTAATATGAAATTGTAACTATTTTGCACTATGGCCTATTTATTGCCTTACCTCCATAACTTACTATAATATAATAATAATAATATGCCATTTAGCAGACGCTTTTATCCAAAGCGACTTACAGTCATGCGTGCATACATTTTTGTGTATGGGTGGTCCCGGGGATCGAACCCACTACCTTGGCGTTACAAGCGCCGTGCTCTACCAGCTGAGCTACATTCGCACACACTGTATATATATTTTCTGTTTGTATTTTTGACTTTATGTTTTGTTTACCCCATATGTAACTCTGTGTTGTTGTTTTTATCGCACTGCTTTGCTTTATCTTGGCCAGGTCGCAGTTGTAAATGAGAACTTGTTCTCAACTGGCTTACCTGGTTAAATAAAGGTGAAATAAATAAATAATAATTAAAAAGGGCCTTGGTCAGGGAGGTGACCAAGAACCCGATGGTCACGCTGACAGAGCTCCAGAGTTCCTCTGTGGAGATGGGAGAACCTTCCAGAAGGACAACCATCTCTGCAGCACTTTACCAATCAGGCCTTTATGGTAGAGTGGCCAGATGGAAGCCACTCCTCAGTAAAATGCACATGACAGCCCGCTGGTGTTTGCCAAAAGGCACCTAAACGACTCTCAGACCATGAGAAACAAGATTCTCTCGTCTGATGAAACCAAGATTGAACTCTTCAGCCTGAATGCCAAGTGTCAGGTCTGGAGGAAACCTGGCACCATCCCTATGGTGAAGCATGGTGGTGGCAGCATCATGCTGTGGGAATGTTTTTCAGCGGCAGGGACTGGGAGACTAGTCAGGATCGAGGGAAAGATGAATGGAGTAAAGTACAGAGAGATCCTTGATGAAAACCTGCTCCAGAGTGCTCAGGACCTCAGATTGGGGCGAAGGTTCACCTTCCAACAGGACAACGACCCTAAGCACACAGCCAAGACAACGCAGGAGTGTCTTCAGGGCAAGTCTCTGAATGTCCTTGAGTGGTCCAGCCAGAGCCTGGACTTGAACCCGATCAAACATCTCTGGAGAGACCTGAAACTCCCCAAATATAGGTGTGCCAAGCTTGTATTGACATACCCATGAAGACTTGAGGCTGTTGTCACTGCCAAAGGTGTTTCAACAAAGTACTGAGTAAAGGGTCTGAATAGTTATGTAAATGTAATATTAAAAAAAACAATTTAATCAATTTTAGAATAAGGCTGTAACGTAACAAAATGTGGAAAACATCAAGGGGTATGAATACTTTCCGAATGCACACTACCAGTAAAACGTTTGGACACACCTACTCATTCAAGGGTTTTTCTTTATTTGGACTATTTTCTACATTGTAGAATAATAGTGAAGACATCAAAACTATGAAATAATACATATGGAATCATGTAGTAACCAAAAAAGTGTTAAACATACAAAATATATGTTATATTTGAGATTCTTCAAATAGCCACCCTTTGCCATGATGACAGCTTTGCACACTCTTGGCATTCTCTCAACCAGCTTCACCTGGAACTATTTTCCAACAGTCTTGAAGGAGTTCCCACATATGCTCAGCACCTGTTGGCTGCTTTTCCTTCACTCTGCCGTCCGACTTATCCCAAACCATCTCAATTGGGTTGAGGTCGGGGGATTGTGGTGGCCAGGTCATCTGATGCAGCACTCCATCACTCTCCTTCTTGGTAAAATAGCCCTTACACAGCCTGGAGGTGTGTTGGGTCATTGTCCTTTGAAAAACAAATGTGGCACTTTGGGGTGAACCCACCTCACAATCAATGAGAGAAGACTTGAAATAGACAAGATGGCGGCGTACATATTGTTCGATTTATTTTTAATTTTTTATCAAACGCACCCCCTGCAACTGGACACAGACATTTATGAGATTCCTGTTTCCACGAATCGAGGATGATGACAGTATCGCCAAGCTATGGTTGGTCGAAAATGTTCTGTGCTACACCAATCAGTATCTAACCTGTAACTCACAGTATAATGGATAACACATTTTTTTTGGTTAAATCACATTATCTGGTGTTACAATCTGTAGCTAAGACCTTTGCAGCTTGTGAGTTTACTATCAGTTAGGCCTACCTATATTAGAATCACGTGTTGTCTATCTGCATAGGCTTTTAAACTTGCAAACTTGAACATGACATCTCTCTTTCTCTCTCTTTCCCTCCCTCCCTCTCTGTAGGTGCTGAACACCTTGGAATATGGTGGAGTAGGCTATGCCTACAGTTTTCCTTTTCATATTAAAGTCCCTTGGACACACCTAGTTGTTGGTGTCCACATCACCAACAAACGAACATGGTCCAAGCACACCAAGACAGTCGTGAAGAGGGCACGACAAAACCTAACCTGAGGAGACTGAAAAGATTTGGCATGGGTCCTCAGATCCTCAAAAGGTTCTACAGCTGCACCATCGAGAGCATCCTGACTGGTTGCATCACTGCCTGGTATAGCAACTGCTCGGCCTCCGACCACAAGGCACTACAGAGGGTAGTGCGTACGGCCCAGTACATCACTGGGGCCAAGCTTCCTGCCATCCAGGACCTCTATACCAGGCGGTGTCAGAGGAAGGTCCTAAAAATTGTCAAAGACTCCAGCCACCATAGTCATAGACTGCATGGCAAGCGGTACCAGAGCGCCAAGTCTAGGTCCAAGAGGCTTCTAAACAGCTTCTACCCACAAGCCATAAGACTCCTGAACATCTAATCAAATGGCTACCCAGACTATTTGCATTGCTGCTACTCTCTGTTTATTGTCTATGCATAGACTGCAGGGCGGCAGGTAGCTTAGTGGTTAAGGGCGTTGTGCCAGTAACCGAAAGGTCGCTGGTTCTAATCCCCAAGCCGACTAGGTGAAAAATCTGTTGATGTGCCCTTGAGCAAGGCACTTAACCCTAATTGCTCCTGTAAGTCGCTCTGGATAAGAGCGTCTGCTAAATCACTAAAAAAAAAAAAAAAAAAAAAAAAAAAATGGAAAAAAAAAAATAAACAAATAACTCTATCTACATGTACATATTACCTTAATTACCTCTACTAACCGGTGCGGTACTGCTGCTCTTTAATTATGTGTTACTTTTATTTTGTATTATTTTATATTGTATTTTTTGTGATTTATTTGTTGGTATTCTTTCTTAAAACTGCACTGTTGGTTAAGGGCTTGTAAGTAAGCATTTCACTGTAAGGTCTACACCTGTTGTATTCGGTACATGTGACAAATAACATTTGATTTGATTTAATAGGCCTATCATATACCTACACAGTACAATAATAAAGCATAGACTTGATGATACAGTACATGCACATAACGTTTTGTAACAACCAGAGATTGAGTCCTGGGGAGATAAATTGAATTAATGTATTTATATGTAGTCGTTGCTATCACAGAAGAGCAGCCCTTCATTTCCTTTTCTGTGTGTGTGCAAATGTTGAACGTGGTCCAACGGTCATACGTGGTCCAACGGTCATGGCTGGAAGGGATATCGTTTCTGTCAAAATACGTCAAAAGTTGTTGTTTTTTCGTGCATTTTAGCTAATCCTAACCGTTTCCTTGCCTTTAACAAGTCAAATCTGACAAAAACGTTATCCCATCTAGCCAAAGCTTGGTCCAACCGTCTGTCAACATATTTCACAATCTCAATTGCATTTTCTCGCGTCCTCTCTCATAGTCCTCGCTTTCTCAAAACCCATTGGATGAGAAAGCCAGAGGTTCCGCCCCTCTGACCTTCTCCTCCAATGGGTTTTGAGAAGGAGGCGAGGAGCGGACCCGAGGAGGATGCAATTGAGATTTCCCCGTGTCAAACTCAGCCAGTGGTCAAGCCTTTTGTTGCATCCTCCTCTTTCTCTCGCTAAAAGAACTTTAAACCCCGCACTGCACAAGTGAAGTCAACACATCCTCTTACTACCTGTCGTTCGACGCTGCTTCACTCGCCTGCCTCTTTGGAACAAAAAGGATATAACCGCTCTTTAAAATCTCTGCTAAAGGTAAGTATCTAGCTACAGCCGGTGTTTGCTTTGACTTGAGTGAATTCTTATACATTTTCTCTTCTGTCATGTGACGCACTACTTACTCATCACTTTGCTGGATGCTCAAAAATGCACGTAGGCCTACACACTTTTTGGATACATTCTGTAGCTTGTAACCTGGTTGCAACAGCCTAAATAATGTTATTTATATCTTTGCTTCGTGAGCGACTCCGTTTTGAACATGACAAAGTTATCGTGTTACGGAATGTCATTTGTAGACGTGGTTAATGATTGACTACTTCAATATTAGCTTGAACTGTGCAGAGTGACAAACGAGGTGGAGGTTATAGATTTTCTGCCATCTTGCAGCCGACTAGTACAAAAAAAGCATCCGGCGTCAAGGACGATGAAAGGACTATTGGGTCAATGTGATTACAAAAGTGTATTAAACATTGGCCTATAAGGACATAGCTACGTTTTTATAGGGAATTATAATTTACCTATTGTGATGTCAGTTATCGCATACCCGAAATTTTGAGGCTTCAATATTTTTTATATGAACAAGCCTATTAGTATTAATAGGCCTCTATGGGGCGAGTCCAGGCCAGCAAGGCCCCAATATATCTTTGGTATCTCAGATTGTTCTGGCAATCATCACATAGAAACTTAATTGGGACGAAGTATGTTTGATATCCTTTTTATATTTGTATCATAAACCATTTTTGAGAAGATCATAATGAAAGTGGCAATTTTAAGCCCTTTTTAGACTACATGCCCTCTATCAACCGTACATGAGACAGACATCTTGGTGTTATACATTTACATTTAAGTCATTTAGCAGACTCTCTTATCCAGAGCGACTTGCAGTAAGTAGTGACTGCATACATTTTTCGTAGCTAGAGGTCCCCCGTGGGAATCAAACCCACAACCCTGGCGTTGCTCTACCAACTGAGCCACACGGGACCCATTATAGATAGTCCTTAGTTTGCTCTAAAATATGGATGGCTAGATTCTGAAATACATTTTTTCACATTAATATTTTTAAAGTTGAATAAATGAATGTGAATATCTCAAATACCCTTTTTGATTTTGTTAATATTAACACATTGTTTTAAACAATGTACTCTACAAGTACATCACATTTCCAGAATGCATGCCCTGTGACTTTTAAGTTAGGATAAATGTCATGAGCACCACCAACAATGGGAATGGGAAAATGGATTTAAAGGGAACTCCCTCTGCTGGCGGTTTGCTGAATGTGCAATCCTGAAGGAGGGCTGGAATTGGTTAAAGGGGAAGTTTACTTTATTTGAACCAAATCTCTATTTTTGTTGTAAATGGCATGTTATAGACTTATTTTTTTAGGAAGAAGATCAGCTTTAATATTGCAGATTGTGGCTTTATCAATGTAATTGTCTGCATCATACAGTTGAAGTTTACATACACTTAGGTTGGAGTCATTAAAACTCGTTTTTCAACCACTCCACAAATTTCTTGTTAACAAACTATAGTTTTGGCAAGTCGGTTAGGACATCTACTTTGCATGACACAAATAATTTTTCCAACAATTGTTTACAGACAGATTATTTCACTTTAAATTCACTGTTTCACAATTCCAGTGGGTCAGAGGTTTACATACACTAAGTTGACTGTGCCTTTTAAACAGCTTGGAAAATTCCAGAAAATGATGTAATGGCTTTAGAAGCTTCTGATAGGCTAATTGACATCATTTGAGTCAATTGGAGGTGTACCTGTGGATGTATTTCAAGGCCTACCTTCAAACTCAGTGCCTCTTTGCTTGACATCATGGGAAAATAAAACAAAATCAGCCAAGACCTCAGAAAAATAATTGTAGACCTCCACAAGTCTGATTCATCCTTGGGAGCAATTTCCAAACGCCTGAAGGTACCACGTTCATCTGTACTAACAATTAGTATGCAAGTATAAACACCATGGGACCACGCAGCCGTCATACCGCTCAGGAAGGAGACATGTTCTGTCTCCTAGAGATTAACATACTTTGGTGCGAAAAGTGCAAATCAATCCCAGAACAATAGCAAAAGACCTTGTGAAGATGCTGGAGGAAACAGGTACAAATGTATCTATATCCACAGTAAAACGAGTCCTATATTGACATAACCTGAAAGGCCGCTCAGCAAGGAAGAAGCCACTGCTCCAAAACAGCCATAAAAAAGCCAGACTACAGTTTGCAACTGCACATGGGGACAAAGATCATACTTTTTGGAGAAATGTCCTCTGGTCTAATGAAACAATAATATAACTGTTTGGCCATAATGACCATCGTTATGTTTGGAGGAAAAAGGGGGTTGCTTGCAAGCCGACGAACACCATCCCAAACATGAAGCACGGGGGTGGCAGCATCATGCTGTGGGGGTGCTTTGCTGCAGGAGGGACTGATGCACTTCATAAAATAGATGGCATCATGAGGAAGGAAAATTATGTGGATATATTGACGCAACATCTCAAGACATCAGTCAGGAAGTTAAAGCTTGGTCGCAAATGGATCTTCCAAATGGACAATGACCCCAAGCATACTTCCAAAGTTGTGGCAAAATGGCTTAAGGACAACAAAGTCAAGGTATTGGAGTGGCCATCACAAAGCCCTGACCTCAATCCTATAGAACATTTGTGGGCAGAACTGAAAAAGCATGTGTGAGCAAGGAGGCCTACAAACCTGACTCAGTTACACCAGGTCTGTCAGGAGGAATGGGCCAAAATTCACCCAACTTATTGTGGGAAGCTTGTGGAAGGCTACCCGGAACGTTTGACCCAAGTTAAACAATTTAAAGGCAACGCTACCAAATACTAATTGAGTGTATGTAAACTTCTGACCCACTGGGAATGTGATGAAAGAAATAAAAGCTGAAATAAATCATTCTCTCTACTATTATTCTGACATTTCACATTCTTAAAATAAAGTGGTGATCCTAACTGACCTAAGACGGGGAATCTTTACTAGGATTAAATGACAGGATTGTGAAAAACTGAGTTTAAATGTATTTGGCTAAGGTGTATGTAAACTTCTGACTTCAACTGTATGTATGTGTGGTGTGATGTGATGGTTTAGGGATTTTTTTATATAAAAAGGTTCTTACTGTGGAATGCAGTATTTGCTTTTCGCCAGGCATGATGGGACCCATGTCTTCCAAAAGGTTGACTCAAGTTTGCCAAAAAGCACCTGGATGATCATCAAGACTCTTGGAAGAATGTTCTATGAACAGATGAGTCGAAAGTATAACTTTTTGGACAACATGGGTACCATTGTCTTGCTGGGTCCCATGAATTCTACTCTGTATAAGAGAATTCTACAGGAGAATGTCAGGCCATCCGTCTGTGAGCTGAAGCGCAGCTGGGTCATGCAGCAAGACAATGATCCAAAACACACAATCAAGTCTACATGAAAATGGCTAAAAAGCAACAAAATTGAAGAAGCTGATTTAAACAGCATGATCATTACACAGGAGCATCTTGTGCTGGGGACAAAAGTCCACTAAAATGTGCAGTTTTGTCACAACACAATGTGACAGATATTTTGAGGGAGCGTGCAATTGACATGCTGACTGCAGGAATGTCTGCCAGAGCTGTTGCCAGAGAATTGAACGTTAATTTCTCTACCAAAGTCGTTTTAGAGAATTTGGCAGTACATCCAACCGGTCTCACAACTGCAGTATGGCGGCGTGTGGGTGAGCGGTTTGCTGCTGTCAACGTTGTGAACAGAGTGCCCCATGGTGGGGTTATGGTATGGGCAGGCATAAGCTACGGACAACCAACACAATTTTATCGATGGCAATTTGAATTCACAGAAATACAGTGACAAGCTCCTGAGGCCCATTGTGAAGTCCTTTTTAAATGTTATTTTTTTTGTGTCTGTGACCAACCGATGCATATGTTTTTCCAAGTAATGTGAAATCCATAGTTTAGGGCCTAATTTATTTATTTAAATTGACTGATTTCCTCATATGAACTGTAACTCAGTAAAATCTTTGCATGTTGCGTTTATATTTTTGTTCAGTATACATAATGATGTGTCTTGGGATTGCCCCTTCAGTCCACTGTGAATAGGCAGCCTCTGACCCCAGCCATAGGACCATTATCCACCCATTTGTCTAGTATTTTGTTAGCCAATTTCTATAGGCTTGTTCTGTGATTGACTGACGAGGTGAACACATTGTGCCAGGCAAGCAGTCCTCATGGGCAAGCCTCTGTTTCCCTCTCGCAGTGTCTAGACTTGACAGTTCATGCAGCTTTAGTATTCTCATCAGAGTACTGATTATGGAATTCCGAACGTATCATGTGTCTATGCCTACATTTAAATGTGTCCGGATTGGCTTTTCCCACGCTATATAAAGTTCCAGAGTGGGATCTCTGCTACTTTTAGAGTTATGATCCAATTTGTATGCATTACCAACAGAGTGAATGTGAAAATGGATTCCAAATGGTTGCCCTCTGCTGGTGATTTGCAGGATGTGATACAAGCAAAAGGAGGTCTGTGATTGGTTACATTGCCTACTATATCAATTTCTCTGTGTACAATGGGCAATAACTTTAAAACTAGCAGAGATCCCACTCTGGAACTTTATGCCTGTAGAGTATATTATGTTTAGCAATATATTACAACATTTGCCCAAATAAAAAAAATAGCATTTTCAATATTCATATTTGTCTATATTCATAAATGTTATTGAAATCAAAATACTACTCATTAAAGAGCAAGCGATAAAGCTTCATATGACACCAACTTTTAATTTGCAGAACCTACAGATGAAACTTTATGGACTCTTAAAGGAGCATTGCAACTTCAATTAATTATTTCTCAATTATGCTTTAAGATGCAAATGTAAAATATATGTCAATCTTTCCTCCAAAGGACCCTTCTAGGGATAACATTTTAGTGAAAGTCCTGGGGGTGTTTTGTTCTTGTTGTGAGGAATCACCCATAGATATATCTGTCCTTCATTTTCAGAAGATTAAAATATATTAAGACATTTATCAGAGGGTGCACTGTTTTCATATTAAAGATTTGCAGTAACATTACTATTACCAATCACATACATACACACACACACACACACACACACACACATCTGGGTCATGCTACTCACTATAGGGCTAGGCCCACTAGTCACACTGTCATGTAAACCTATAATAGAACAGATGTCTTCAGCTGAAGTTCTGTTCTATTAAGATCAAATTCTAATAACACCGTTGCATGACCTTTGTCACTCTCCTGCCTCTGGACTCCAGTATCCTTTTTAGCTGCTGTTGGAGGATTAAGGATACTGTTGGCAAACAACTCTAACTCATCACATTTTATTTGTCACATGCTTTGTAAACAATAGGTGTACATCTGTTGTTTAAGAAGCGTGACAAATGTTTGAGTTGTTGGCTAACTGTGGTAACTGCCTCTCACATGGAATAGCCTAGATATTTGCGAACAGAGCAACTCTCCCACTGACTTCACTTATCGCACAAGTTTGTGTGTGTGCGCGCTTCAGCAGATGGAGGGGGCAGTGTGTTTGTGGATTGTAATTTAGCCTTGGGGCCTAGAGATGGATTAGGGTGACCGCACAGGCACTGCCAGTGTGTGTGTCAGACCCTTGTTTTGGGGGGGACAGTTACTGTATGTTCTCTGGTGTGCCTTCGTCCGTCCTGGATCATATTGGACCTCAGGGGGACCTCCTGTTGGACAAGGGGGATAAAGTGGCTAAATCTGGGGCTGTGGAAGTAGGAAAGCTCCCTGCTGCCTTTGATCCCTGGTAGGCCTTGCATGGGACTCCTCTGCTCTATCCTAGCCTGGCATGATCACTACTTGGTGGTGCCTGTATCTGGCAGCAAGGAATCTCGCCAAACAAAGCAAGAATTCCTGTCCTGTTTGAGGATTGTTCGTCTGATAACCAGGCAATGTCAGGCCGTCGGGATTGGCTTCTTATGAAATGACCCTGGCTTAGTTGCTGCTTCAGATTGTTACATATGTCGATCTTCTATGATATTCTAGTAATATGACGAAAGGACATAACATGATGATAATTGTCCTTGGAAGTTGATGTATTTAATATTGAGGCGGGTTTTGATAGATAGTTAGTTAGTCAGTCATGTGTTTACATGGTAGGGACTGCTCAGTAAGGATGGTTGTAACGGTAAGATGTCCAGGCTTTTGATTCCAAAGATCCGCTCGTACTGTAGGTCTCCTGCTGGGGTTTAGTGTGTGTGTGTGTGTGTGTGTGTGTGTGTGTGTGTGTGTGTGGGCCTATATGCTGTGGGTTAGAGTTGCGTGCCAAGGTGTGCTATGGATAAGCAGCAGGACTTACAGTGCATTGGGAAAGTATTCAGACCCCTTGACTTTTTCCACATTTTGTTACGTTACAGCCTTGTTAGAAAATTTATTTTAAATAGATTTGTTTCACTCAATCTACACACAGTACCCCATAATGACAAAGCAAAAACAGGTTTTTAGAAATGTTGCTAATTTATAAAAAATTTACTGAAATATGACATTATTACAGCCTCAAGTCTTCTTGGGTATGATGCTACAAGCTTGGCACACCTGTATTTGGGGAGTTTCTCCCATTCTTCTCTGCTGATCCTCTCAAGCTCTGTCAGGTTGGATGGGGAGTGTCGCTGCACAGCTATTTTCAGGTCTCTCTAGAGATGTTAGATCGGGTTCAAGTCCGGTCTCTGGCTGGGCCACTCAAGAACATTCAGAGACTTGTCCCAATGCCACTCCTGTGTTGTCTTGGCTGTGTGCTTAGGGTTGTTGTGCTGTTGGAAGGTGAACCTTCGCCCCAGTCTGAGGTCCTGAGCGCTCTGGAGCAGGTTTTCAACAATGATCTCTCTGTACTTTGCTCCGTTCATCTTTCTCTCGATCCTGATTAGTCTCCCAGTCCCTGCTGCTGAAAAACATCCCCACAGCATACGGTGCCAGGTTTCCTCCAGACGTGACACTTGGCATTCAGGCCAAAGAGTTCAATCTTGGTTTCATCAGTCTAGAGAATCTTGTTTCTCATGGTCAGTCCTTTAGGTGCCCTTTGGCGAACTCCAAGCGGGCTGTCGTGCCTTTTACTGAGGAGTGGCTTCCGTCTGGCCACTCTACCATAAAGGCCTGCTTGGTGGAGTGCTGCAGAGATGCTTGTCCTTCTGGAAGGTTCTCCCATCTCCACAGAGGAACTCTGGAGCTCTGTCAGAGTGACCATCGGCTTCTTGGTCACCTCCCTGACCAAGGCCCTTCTCCCCCGATTGCTCACTTTGACCGGGCGGCCAGCTCTAGATCTGTGCCTTGACACAATCCTGTCTTGGAGCTCTACGGACAATATCTTTGACCTCATGGCTTGGTTTTTGCTCTGACATGCACTGTCAACTGTGAGACAGGATGCACCTGAGCTCAATTTCGAGTCTCATAGCAAAGGGTCTGAATACTTATGTAAATAAGTTATTTTATAGATTTGCACAAATTTCTAAACCAGTTTTTGCTTTGTCATTATGGGGTATTGTGTGTAGATTGAGTATTGTTTTTGAATAAGTATCAATTTTAGAATAAGGCTGGAACAAAATGTGGAAAATGTCAAGGGGTCTGAATACTTTCCAAAGGCACTGTACGTTGACCAATAATGGTTTGCTCGTCTTTAATTGGGCTACAGTATATCAAGCTATATACACTAACTGCACTAGAGTAGCTCTGTAAAAATAGCAGGACATTTTAGAAACGTGACAAGTAATCCACTATATACTATGCAAAATGCTTTCCAAATGGTTAGGACATGTGTCAAAACAAGACCTGAATAGGGTTTTGTCTGAACCTTGGCCTCAAACACTAGGATCAGACCTAGGTTCAAATACTATTTAGTGTAGGCTATTTCAATTTCTTTCAAGGACATTTCGAAATATGTATTTGGATATGTTTTCTTTGAAAATAGGCTACAAGTAGTTGAATATTGGAATGCATTTTCAAATATTTAAATACTCCATGCATTTGAACCCAGGTCTGTTTGGTCCTAGGGGTATTTTAATTAATGTATTTGGAAATTAGTAGTTAGGCTATTTTTATAGGAAGTTATTTGAAAATACTTGAAAATATTTCAAAAGTAGCTGATTTGGCCACATTCTTTAAAAATACTTACATTTATTTGAACCCAAGTCTGACTAGGATATTGGTTTTGACTTAGTCTGGAGTAAATCAATTAAATACAGTAGGGTTTGTTTGATTGGCTTAAGAAATAGATTTCTTGGGTTGGATTCCCAGACACAGATTAAGCCTTTGCCTGGACTAAAGAGGTGTGCTCAATGGTGAATGTCAATTTGCTTGCTTTTCACAGCAGTTTTCAGTTGACGAACCTTGATAACTAGACTAAAGGTTCAACGCTATCTCCTTCCCTCCCTCCAGCGTCGTGGATCATGTCGTCTGTGATGCAGAAGTTGATCACCCCCATGGCCAGCGGCCCCGCTGAGCCCCCTAGGAACAAGGTGACCGTGGTGGGGGTGGGCATGGTGGGTATGGCCTGTGCCGTCAGTGTCCTCCTCAGGGTAAGTCTGACTATATCACTGTCTTACTGCTACTTTACAACTGCATTACTACTCTTACTATTGCGTTATAAGTACTTTACAAGTACATTAGTACTAGTTTACTATGAGTTTACCTCTGAATTACTACTATTGTGATACCAACAAATAGTTACTACTCAGTTATTATGTAGGCTAGTTGTAATTGTTGATTTTTACCATGTCATTTCTAAGTAAAGACCAGGTATTCATGACCAAACTATCCTTCCTCTCCTTCTGGCCCTTCTCCTCCTCTCCACCCCTACCTTCTCCTTCCCCCTCCTCCTTCCTGTAGGACTTGGCTGATGAGCTGGCTCTGGTTGATGTGATGGAGGATAAGCTGAAGGGAGAGATGATGGACCTGCAGCACGGCAGCCTCTTCCTCAAGACATCTAAGATAGTAGCTGACAAAGGTAAGAGAATCCCCTTTGTGTGTATGCCACTGGAGTGGCTCAGAGCCAAAATGGCGGAATATGTATGTATTTTGCCATTGCAAGTGTAATGCAGCCTGTTTTGAAATGAGTCCTTGCCAGTTTAAGGTTGATTGCCATTCATTGATTGCCATTTTGACTTTTCTTCCTGCTAAATGTGAAATGGAAAAATTATTCTTAATTCAATTCCTCTTTCCCCATCTCTGTCCAGACTATGCCGTGACGGCTAACTCCCGCATCGTGGTTGTGACCGCTGGCGTGCGTCAGCAGGAGGGAGAGAGCAGGCTCAACCTAGTCCAGAGGAACGTCAACATCTTCAAACACATCATCCCCCAGATCGTCAAACACTCCCCCAACTGCACCCTTATCGTGGTGTCCAACCCAGGTACAGACACAGACAGACAATTTAAATCTTGGACACAAGCTAAGTTGTTTCCATCATTATCCCCTAGATTGTGTTGTCCAACCCAGTCCCAGCATTCCACCCTTATCAACTACTACAGTATCACATCACACCACTCCACATTACAAGATGAGAGAGAGGGCACTGTGACAAGAGTGGGGTGGCAGGGATGGGCAGTCATTCGTTAACGTTGTCAAGGATAAGTGTGTAGGCATCCGTGTGTGTTTGTGACCCTATCCCCAACTCTATCCCCATCTCTCCCTACCCCTAGTGGACGTGCTGACCTATGTGACATGGAAGTTGAGCGGCCTGCCCAAACACCGTGTCATCGGCAGCGGCACCAACTTGGACTCCGCCCGCTTCCGTTTCCTGATGGCTGAGCGCCTGGGGATCCATGCCACCAGCTTCAATGGATGGGTGCTGGGAGAACACGGCGATACCAGCGGTGAGTAGTGGTGATGAAAGTGATGATTGGTCCTGGTAGAGCACAGAGACGCAAGCGGTGGGGATGATGGTGATAAGAATGGTGATGTCTGTTGAGTGCATACTTTAGTGGGAATCTGAGCGCATGTGTGAACTTCTTGTCACACCCATTAAGCCACAAGGCTGTTGGCAGCTTTAACAGCTTTTAAAACAAAAGTACTTGTTTTGGCATTTTTACATCACTCTGCACATCCAGTTCTATGGCCGAAATAATGAGTTATGAATAAGTTGGTTGAGTCTGCTTGTGTTTTAAATGGGAAATTCAAATATTTTCTGGGTAAATGAATAAATAAATGTCTGTGTTAGTCCCTGTGTGGAGCGGTGTCAATGTGGCTGGAGTCAACCTGCAGAAGCTGAACCCAGAGTTTGGCCTTGACGGAGACAAAGAGGACTGGAAGGCCACCCACAAGGAAGTGGTCGACAGGTGTATATACCCTAAACCTATCCCTAGCTCCATCCAGAGTCTAAATATGCACCTCCCACTCAACCTAGCCCTGGTAGTAAAGCTGGAGTTTACACCATATTGCGCACCACCTTGTGATTCATTCATATCTACTGGAGCTGTCAAGGTGTAAGGGCTAAAGTAAGGAGGATATCAGGCTAATTTTTGGTATCATTAAAATAACTAGTTCTACTGATATTGTATACTAGAATAAGTATCAAAGCTCGCACTCCCTTCCATTTTATTTATTTAGAATTAACCTTTTTATTTGAGTTAATGTTCATGCAGGTTCCTCCATTAAGAGAGAGACCTGTTCAAGATGGCAACAGTCGGACGTAGATGTTGACTGACAGTGATTGTTTTGTGTGCTCCTCCAGTGCCTATGAGGTGATCAAGCTGAAGGGGTATACCAACTGGGCCATCGGCCTGAGTGTGGCTGACCTCACTGAGAGCATCATCAAGAACATGAGCAGGATCCACCCTGTCTCCACCATGGTCAAGGTGAGGGGATTACACCCACAGACATGTGCGTGCAGACACACGCACAGTTACACACACATTATGCGCATGTACGCATGTAAACCCACACAGAGCGAATCAAATGCACACATTTCTATGTGATAATGACTGACTGCTGTGTTTTGTTTCCCCAGGACATGTATGGTATTGGTGAGGAGGTGTTCCTGTCCCTGCCATGCGTGCTGAACAGCAACGGAGTGGGCAGCGTGATCAACATGACCCTGACTGACGCGGAGGTGGGCCAGCTGAAGAAAAGTGCAGACACACTCTGGGGCATCCAGAAGGACCTCAATGACATCTAGACACAACACACACCAAACCAACAACCCATAGGTGGACGGACTTCACACCTCTACCCTCCCTCCGTCTCCGATGCAGTGACTCCCAGACCTAGTTCCAGCCCTCCTCCGATCTACTGTATCCATCCCCCTTTCATCTTAATCTACTGGTATAAACTCTTCCTTTCACCCCCACCTTTCCCTTTGTAGGATGTTGCTGTGGTGTTTCCATGCTAGGTACTGTGTGAACCAGTATGACTGTACGTACCCTCATTGGGTTCATGTGTTGAAGCTATTGTACTATGATCAAAAAGAAGTGTTGGCTTTATCCTCTTTCATTTGCACTGTTCTGTTCACTCCCTTTAGGGATTGCAGAAACAAAGACCCTATAACTCGGTCACATCCTGTCAGGGAGCAGAGGTGTTGGTTATTGTGCTAGGTGAGGCGAGATGTTCAGTATGTTTTTTTTCTGGCAGTCAATGTCAAAGGGAGAAAGAGGTCAGGGGTGGAATCAATCGAAACATCCTACTTGAGTATCATACTGTAACTATCATGTTGATTGTGTAATGAATGACAAGAAACAATGAGTGACTTTAATAAATATTTGAACCTTTATGAAGAATTGTGTCCAATGACTGAAATGTCCTTCAGTAAACTGGGCTACAGAATGCCTCCCTCTGGTTAGGTATCTCAACTAAATGATCTGACATTTAAAGATCCCTTTTCATGTTTTTAGTCACATAAACCTTCAAATTAATATTGACAATATGTTCAGTAGAGAAACATTCTGTCAATTAGGCAACACTACTGCATGTTCAATCACAGAACCATATTGGCTTTTACATTGCTTTTCTTCCCAACCAACAAATTGCGGCGCTGTCCACTGGTTTGTGGTGCTGAAACGCATCTAGCCGATTCAAGGCAATTCTCTTTCCTTATCCTCATTACAAGGTGTAAGAATTACATTACACAAGACAAGTACACAACTTTTATTCAGCAGACTTATGCATTTCCCAAACCCACCTTTTATAAGTAGACAATATGACACACAAACTCCTTACATCATGAGTGACTTGTTATAACAATGCTGCTATAACAGTAAGAAATTGACCATATCCATTGGTTCCTTCTTTGGAAGAGAAACTGCTTGTCCATTTAGGCAGGACCTTCTAGTTCTCGGAGGTAGAGTAGAATAGGCAACAGTTTGCTTGTCCTGGATCTTATGAGGTTGGCCTTGAATGGGTTAAATTTGTCGCGCTTTCCAAATCGGAGCCCGAACGGGTTGAAGTTGAATTTGCTGGTCCGAGTTAAACGATGTTTGCAGATCATTTGTCGCTGGTCTTCATCACCCTCTTTCGAAAGGTAACAAATGTTAGCATCGTCAGGTAAATTCGGACTGACAGCCTCGCTTCTCATCACCACAGAGTGCCCCTCTTGCGCCTTAGCAGGTGTATGTTCTGAGAAATGGGAGAGCATCAAATTATAAAATCAAATTTTCTTAGCTTATTACTTTAGGATATTAAAAAGTTTGGCTCAGGACATTATGAGATGAAAATGACATAAGATATCAAAAAGTCAATATATTAAATCAAGAAATTACCTGGGATATCCGTCCACCCAAATCCATGCATTGGAGTTCCCAATGTTCCATACTGGCGAATTATCGCACAAACCAGGAAAAATGCCAGCATTCTCATTCTGTCAAAATCCAGTGATCACACTTCGCATCCAACCAATGCAGCAATAAACTATATGTGGTCATCTACACTAAGATGTCTTTATTTGATGCATGACGTGTATTCTCTGCCTTTTATATTTCTGTCTGTATGCCCCGGATTGTTAGATGACAGCGGATGAGTCGCGTTCACGTCGTTGTCCACTGCTTAGTGGTACTGAAATGAATAATTCATTACCTTCTAGGAAATGTTGACAATCCGCAACAAGGGATGACTTTTCTCTGAAAATATGACGATCAGATGTGGTTGTTGTTGAATTGATGCAGTTTGCTAGAGTGCATGAGAGGATTGAGGGATATGGGAAGATCTTGGCCAGCAGTTTAGACACTAGCCAAATATCAATTATGCGTTTGGTTAAAGTAAAAGATATACATCTATATAAATAACTTCACCCATGATTGATTCTTGTAATGTTGGTCCATCAGAATTGCATATATTCTATTTGACCAACATTCAACCCCATGCGTAAAACGTACAACTCATTCAGGACGCATGGGGGTGCCAAGTGTAGATTTTTTGATGAGAAATTATGCCATATACCACCAATAGGCCTACAGTGAGGGAAAAAAGTATTTGATCCCCTGCTGATTTTGTACGTTTGCCCACTGACAAAGAAATGATCAGTCTATAATTTTAATGGTAGGTTTATTTGAACAGTGAGAGACAGAATAACAACAAAATAATCCAGAAAAACGCATGTCAAAAATGTTATGAATTGATTTGCATTTTAATGAGGGAAATAGGTATTTGACCCCCTCTCAATCAGAATGATTTCTGGCTCCCAGGTGTCTTTTATACAGGTAATGAGCTGAGATTAGGAGCACACTCTTAAAGGGAGTGCTCCTAATCTCAGCTTGTTACCTGTATAAAAGACACCTGTCCACAGAAGCAAGCAATCAATCAGATTCCAAACTCTCCACCATGGCCAAGACCAAAGAGCTCTCCAAGGATGTCAGGGACAAGAATGGGCTACAAGATCATCGCCAAGCAGCTTGGTGAGAAGGTTGGCGAGAACAGTTGGTACGATTATTCGCAAATGGAAGAAACACAAAATAACTGTAAATCTCCCTCGGCCTGGGGCTCCATGCAAGATCTCACCTCATGGAGTTGCAATGATCATGAGAACGGTGAGGAATCAGCCCAGAACTACACGGGAGGATCTTGTCAATGATCTCAAGGCAGCTGGGACCATAGTCACCAAGAATACAATTGGTAACACACCACGCCATGAAGGACTGAAATCCTGCAGCGCCCGCAAGGTCCCCCTGCTCAAGAAAGCACAAATACAGGCCCGTCTGAAGTTTGCCAATGAACATATGAATGATTCAGAGGAGAACTGGGTGAAAGTGTTGTGGTCAGATGAGACCAAAATCAAGCTCTTTGGCATCAACTCAACTCGCTGTGTTTGGAGGAGGAGGAATGCTGCCTATGACCCCAAGAACACCATCCCCACCGTCAAACATGGAGGTGGAAACATTATATGCTTTGGGGGTGTTTTTCTGCTAAGGGGACAGGACAACTTTACCGCATCAAAGGGACGATGGACGGGGCCATGTACCGTCAAATCTTGGGTGAGAACCTCCTTCCCTCAGCCAGGGCATTGAAAATGGGTCGTGTATGGGTATTCCAGCATGACAATGACCCAAAACACACGGCCAAGGCAACAAAGGAGTGGCTCAAGAAGAAGCACATTAAGGTCCTGGAGTGGCCTAGCCAGTCTCCAGACCTTAATCCCATAGAAAATCTGTGGAGGGAGCTGAAGGTCCGAGTTGCCAAACGTCACGCTCGAAACCTTAATGACTTGGAGAAGATCTGCAAAGAGGAGTGGGACAAAATCCCTCCTGAGATGTGTGCAAACCTGGTGGCCAACTACAAGAAACGTCTGACCTCTGTGATTGCCAACAAGGGTTTTGCCACCAAGTACTAAGTCATGTTTTGCAGAGGGGTGAAATACTTATTTCCCTCATTAAAATGGAAATCAATTTATAACATTTTTGACATGCGTTTTTCTGGATTTTGTTGTTGTTATTCTGTCTCTCACTGTTCAAATAAACCTACCATTAAAATTATAGACTGATCATGTCTTTGTCAGTGGGCAAACGTACAAAATCAGCAGGGGATCAAATACTTTTTTCCCTCACTGTACCTATGGGCTAGGCAACATTGAGAAATAGGACTATGCGCTTGAAAAGGCTACATGGACTGAACATGGATTAAGAGCGAGGTCAGGTTTCAATGTGTGGATACACACTACACAGCCCTAACTCTTGGCTGTCACTGGGTATTGTCCAGTTAAACAAACGAATGAGGAGGAGCAAAGTTCAAGCGAACATTGCGTCACGTACAGCCTTCTGCGTCATCATCAGCGGAAATGAACTGTAGGCTACCTAGGTTTTGTTTTTGTCTCAATTACGTTTTTTTCCCTAACATAGACTATTGTTTCAAAACAAAAGTGTAATTTGTGTAATTATTTAGGCTACTGTAATTAATGTCGAGGTCCCTCAATTGCAGACATGATATGCATTTTTATTTATTTTTTATTTCACCTTTATTTAACCAGGTAAGCCAGTTGAGAACAGGTTCTCATTTACAACTGCGACCTGGCCAAGATAAAGCAAAGTAGTGCAATAAAAACAACACAGAGTTACATATGGGGTAAAAAAAACATAAAGTCAGAAATACAACAGAAAATATATATACAGTGTGTGCAAATGTAGCAAGTTATGGAGGTAAGGCAATAAATAGGCTATAGTGCAGAATAATTACAATAGTATTAACACTGGAATGCTAGATGTGCAAGAGATTATGTGCAAATAGAGATACTGGGGTGCAAAAGAGCAAAATAAATAACAATATAGGGATGAGGTAGTTGGGTGGGCTAATTTCAGATGGGCTGTGTACAGGTGCAGTGATCGGTAAGGTGCTCTGACAACTGATGCTTAAAGTTATTGAGGGAGATAAGAGTCTCCAGCTTCAGAGATTTTTGCAATTCGTTCCAGTCATTGGCAGCAGAGAACTGGAAGGAATGGCGGCCAAAGGAGGTGTTGGCTTTGGGAATGACCAGTGAGATATACCTGCTGGAGCGCAGACTACGGGTGGGTGCTGCTATGGTGACCAATGAGCTAAGATAAGGCGGGGATTTGCCTAGCAGTGATTTATAGATGGCCTGGAGCCAGTGGGTTTGACGACGAACATGTAGTGAGGACCAGCCAACAAGAGCGTACAGGTCACAGTGGTGGGTAGTGTATGGGGCTTTGGAGACAAAACGGATGGCACTGTGATAGACTACATCCAATTTGCTGAGTAGAGTGTTGGAGGCTATTTTGTAAATGACATCGCCGAAGTCAAGGATCGGTAGGATAGTCAGTTTTACGAGGGCATGTTTGGCAGCATGAGTGAAGGAGGCTTTGTTGCGAAATAGGAAGCCGATTCTAGATTTAACTTTGGATTGGAGATTCTTTATGTGAGTCTGGAAGTTGAGTTTACAGTCTAACCAGACACCTAGATATTTGTAGTTGTCCACATACTCTAGGTCAGACCCGTCGAGAGTGGTGATTCTAGTCGGGTGGGCGGGTGCTAGCAGCGTTCGATTGAAAAGCATGCATTTAGTTTTACTAGTGTTTAAGAGCAGTTGAAGGCTACTGAAGGATTGTTGTATGGCATTGAAGCTCGTTTGGAGGTTTGTTAACACAGTGTCCAATGAAGGGCCAGATGTATACAAAATGGTGTCGTCTGCGTAGAGGTGGATCTGAGAGTCACCAGCAGCAAGAGCGACATCATTGATATACACGGAGAAAAGTGTCGGCCCAAGAATTGAACCCTGTGGCACCCCCATAGAGACTGCCATAGGTCCAGACAACAGGCCCTCCGATTTGACACACTGAACTCTATCTGAGAAGTAGTTGGTGAACCAGGCGAGGCAGTCATTTGAGAAACCAAGGCTATTTAGTCTGCCAATAAGAATGCGGTGGTTGACAGAGTCGAAAGCCTTGGCCAGGTCGATGAAGACGGCTGCACAGTACTGTCTATTATCAATCGCGGTTATAATATCGTTTAGGACCTTGAGCGTGGCTGAAGTGCACCCGTGACCAGCTCGGAAACCGGATTGCATAGCGGAGAAGGTACGGTGGTATTCGAAATGGTCGATGATCTGTTTGTTAACTTGGCTTTCGAATACTTTCGAAAGGCAGGGCAGGATGGATATAGGTCTGTAGCAGTTTGGATCTAGAGTGTCACCCCCTTTGAAGAGGGGGATGACCGCGGCAGCTTTCCAATCTCTGGGGATCTCAGACGTTATGAAAGAGAGGTTGAACAGACTAGTAATAGGGGTTGCGACAATTTCGGCGGCTAGTTTTAGAAAGAAAGGGTCCAGATTGTCTAGCCCAGCTGATTTGTAGGGGTTCAGATTTTGCAGCGCTTTCAAAACATCAGCTGTCTGAATTTGTGTGAAGGAGAAGCGGGGGGGGCATGGGCAAGTTGCAGCAGAGGGTGCAGAGTTGGTGGCCGGGTTAGTGGTAGCCAGATGGAAAGCATGGCCAGCTGTAGCAAAATGCTTGTTGAAATTCTCGATTATTGTAGATTTATCGGTGGTGATAGTGTTTCCTAGCCTCAGTGCAGTGGGCAGCTGGGAGGAAGTGCTCTTATTCTCCATGGACTTTACAGTGTCCCAAAACTTTTTGGAGTTAGTGCTACAGGATGCAAATTTCTGTTTGAAAAAGTTAGCCTTTGCTTTCCTGACTGCTTGTGTATATTGGTTCCTAACTTCCCTGAAAAGTTGCATATCGCGGGGGCTATTTGATGCTAATGCTGTACGCCACAGGATGTTTTTGTGCTGGTCAAGGGCAGTCAAGTCTGAGGAGAACCAGGGGCTATATCGGTTCTTAGTTCTGTATTTTTTGAATGGGGCATGTTTATTTAAGATTGAGAGGAAATTACTTTTAAGGAACAACCAGGCATCCTCTACTGACGGAATGAGATCTATATCCATCCAGGATACCTGGGCCAGGTCAATTAGGAAGGCCTCCTCGCTAAAGTGTTTTAGGGAGCGTTTGACAGTGATGAGGGGTGGTCGTTTGACCGCGGACCCGTTACGGACGCAGGCAATAAGGCAGTGATCGCTGAGATCCTGGTTGAAGACAGCTGAGGTGTATTTAGAGGGTATGTTAGTCAGGATGATATCTATGAGGGTACCCATGTTTACGGATTTAGGGTTGTACCTGGTAGGTTCGTTGATAATTTGCATGAGGTTGAGGGCATCTAGCTTGGATTGTAGGATGGCTGGGGTATTAAGCATATCCCAATTTAGGTCACCAAGCAGTACAAACTCTGAGGATAAATGGGGGGCAATCAATTCACATATGGTGTCCAGGGCACAGCTGGGGGCTGAGGGGGGTCTGTAGCAAGCGGCAACAGTGAGAGACTTATTTCTGGAAAGGTGGATTTTTAGAAGTAGAAGCTCAAACTGTTTGGGCACAGACCTGGATAGTATGATAGAGCTCTGATAATAAGACTCCAGTAGGTGTAGTATAGTTTACATTGCCTAAAAAGGGAAACCATAGCCCTATAAATAGTAGGGCCAAATTCATGATATAAATAATACAATATCCAAATGTGAATGAGTATTCATAATATCATGAATTTGGCGTACTGTTTAAGGCTAGGGAAAGCACAGAATAATACATGTGAAACTTTGATTTATAATTTATGTAGGATCTTCATTTGATCACTCCTTTGTTGCTGAGAATTGTCCTGCACAGCACGAAATGCAAACGTGTAGTGTATTTGAGTTTTAAAAAGACTTCTAAAGTTTGTCATTTCCAATAACGAAAAATGTATCAACTCCTATAAAAATGTCCACTAATTATAATCCACATAATAATTCATATTTCCTGTAGCTGCAGGATTATTTTCCTGCTGTAGCAAACTGCCTCAAATTAAGATTCTACATCGGTATATTCTCCACTTTTGCTCGCTTTTGATGTCTGTGTGTGGACTTCAGTCCCGTGCATGCAGCCAGGGAATGTTGACTTTCTGTTCACAGACGTGGGTCGGATTCAATTACAAAAAGTAGGCGGGCTGGACAGTGGACTGCTAGGAGTGACGCACTGGGACCATGGGATGTATGTCTTCTGAGTCCAAGTGAACTCCAGTGGGATATTCGGATGTGAGAAGATAGACAGTTTACAGTTGAACCTACAGAGGAGAAACTCAGAGAGCATCATTTA